GGCTATTTGTAAAAACGCAGCATCTCCCAGCATCCCTTCAATCCCCCCAACGTATACTGGACTCTATTTTCTAAACATACTATGTATGCTTCATTACCTGGGATTTGGTTGCCCAGTCAACTGGACACTACTAGAAATCCATCCCAAAAATAACTAGTCGTTTTATTTTACAACTTTTATTTACCTATGTGTTCTCAGTTGAAACCTTTTACAGTTCTTCAGCACCATTTTTGAAATAATAAAGCTTACTTATGCAGCATGCGCTGACAATCTAGGTTACGTGAAACGGCAACCATCTGTATTATCTAAAAAAACTTGGACTATTTTCTGTCTTTTATGTAACAGTGAACAATTCCAAACCTAATTTTACAATAATGGGTTTGTCCTCAGTGGCTCAGACTAATTACCAAAGTAAAGTAAAAAAAGTGGGGGAAGGATTCTTAATGCTCACACATTGGCATGCGCCCTGCTTTGTCCTTTATAGTATATTTTGCATTAAGGAGTAGATTTTTTTGGCTTTGTTTGGGGCAGACATTATTTGTATTTTGCCCTTTAAATCTTTAAAAGATGAAGGATGATGGAGTCTGAATTCTGTATAACATCTAATCCCCCGACATTGTACCTCTCCACACATTTGCTGCTTCCCCTGAACTCTTCTTTGCTGTCTTTGCTGATTGCACCACAAGATCCTGACGGAAGAAATGTTTTTGTTTAAATAGCACATTACATTAAAACGACAACCAATAAATGGCATCTTTTAGCAGCTGTACATTGCATCTTGAAGTCGTCGTTAAGCTGCTAGTTTAAAAAGCTGTGGGTACTAAGAATAGCCATGTTGTTTACATCCATTGTGATAATTGTGGAGGAGTGTCTTGAGCGAGTGCCGCAGCCGACTTTCATTACAAAACATTAGTCATCAGTCGGCTTGGCTTCAACCAAATGTAATTCCACTCCAGCTTTGTTTACAGGAACTATCCATTCTTACTCCATGATTTAAAATATCTGTCAGTCAATATGCCTGTTAGCAGTTTTCCAAAAAGGGATTTCAGAGCTCTAATAACTCAAATGTAATTTCAATTTAGAGGCCTTTTAAAACAGCAGTGTGCAGTATATAAAAAAAAATACATCATATTTGTGCACGATAACATAATAAGAAATATTCAATCAGAAAGAATTGATAGATATTTAGAAATAGTTAATAGAAAACATTCTCTTTGCACACTCTCATCTCCAGAGGACGTGATTCTATTGTATGCATGAAAGAATGCACGGAAATATGCACAAACATGCATGTTCAGCTTCACACACGCATGCGTGTTAGGTAGCCAAAAGAATGTAAGTCCCTCATCTCCAGCACACACGTATCTGCAGTAGTTTGGTTTGTTAAGCACATTTACCAAAATGTTTTATTTTCTGTCCCAAAAAGATGCGGCTAGATTTTTTTCTGTTCAGATACCAGAACAAGAAGAAGACTGTGTCTATGGATGCAATGCTCGTGATTTCAATGGGATGTGACTGTTAATGGGTTGATCTTATTAGTAAATAGACCTATTTGAATTGTAGATCAGACAGCAGCATAATTTTGCATTGGCAACTATGTGAGCTATTGGGGAACAAGCTTCAACACTTGTATCCCTTAACCTTACTTACATAAGTATAAATATAGAGACATGTGACGTGTCTGACGAAAGAGAGAAAAAGTATCAGCTCAGTAATAGAATGTAAACATTTTAGTTAAACTCAAAAAATAGATAACTGATACTTCAGTGATTATAATTGTAATACATTTAATAGATGTAATGAACTCCCTTGACAACATTGATGGCATCTTATAAAGCAGGAACTTTTTGTTCTTAATACTACAACAGTCTAGATTAAGCAAACATTGAGGTAGTTACACAGTCAGCTCAATGACTCTATGACTCTCTGCCACTTGTCCCACTACTGTATGTAGTTAGAATATTAGTTAAATGATAGAAAGTAGTTTGGCATTCAACAATAATTCTGTCAGATACAAAGTCTTGATTTTTAAGAATTGTGTTATTTTTTGTTTGCCTTCAATCTTTTTAAAAACGTTCTTGTGATTTCCCGAGATTGCACTGTGCATTGTAGGAGTGCAGTTGAAGACAGAAACCGTCTTATCCGGCCACATGCTGCACCTGTCTCTCGCTATTACAAGTGTCCTCTAAGTGCATAACCTTGCAGCAAGAGTCCCAAAAGAGTCCTGCCTCACAGTAGAGACAGATTAGTTGTACCTGAAGCATAGCTCTGCAATGACCACATCAGAATGGTCAAATTACCCAGCATTACCCTGCACGTTTGACCTCTTCTCCCCCATAACTCGATCTCTTCCGCCTCCCCTTCTACCCTTTCCTCCTCCATGGCTGGAGAGAGCAGAGGATGGGAGCTGACAGTGTGCGCCTATGCTTTAATTTTTTACATCACCTCACAACACATCTTTATGTAACCGTCTTCCTCTAGATTCACTTTTATCTTATGCCCCCCACGGTTTCCTTTTCCACACTAATGCTTTCTTTCCTCATGTTTTATTTTATTTTATATCCAACACATAGAATCATCTTTTAATGGACAAGCATTCGGTGCGGTCAACAGTGTGGTGCTAATAGGATGACGTTTGGAGTCATAGTAGGATACTATAAGTACTGCAGTGTTGCTTAAACATTATTGTTCATTTTTATATTATTGTATTTTATCAAGAGCAATGAGAGCTTTTAATAGTGACTGAAGCTACTGAGGAGCTACTCAGGAAATACTGAACACTGCTGCCATCTGTTGTTCAAAGAGCAATAATACTACATTTCCAAAAATAAGGGTACACTGAGTCTCCGTTGACGTTGTGACCGTCCGTGTGGCTTCAGTGGACCAATTTAAGCGCTCAGATACAATCACCATCATATTCACCGTCGGACCGATGGGCGATCTGCATTATGAAAGTTATTTGTTTCATATTTATTGTCTATTTGACAATGACCTTTCCCTTCATCGCTTGGTCTAATGTGTTATGAGCAGGAGAAAAAGGAACTCCTCTTCCTATAAATTGAATAGAAATTCTATATTACTGCATCACATATGAATAACCTATTCAGTCAGAGGAAGGGACTGTTTTCTACGTGTTCTTCGAAATCACATGAAGGCTGAATAATTAAATGATCCTGAAATAAAATCAAAGGTGGCCTGCATTGATTATTATGGATTTGAACTGGCATGTTGATATATAAAAAGACAATCAATGAATCTTGATAAAGGATGCTGTATTGATCTTTCCCCTATTCACCCGGGCCTGTAACACAGCTGTGAGAGTGAGCTGACTTGTGCAGATAATGAACTGGTGAAAGGATATTGAGGAGATTATGAGTTCATGCTGCTGCAGCGTCACTGTGCCGGATGATACAAGAAAAAGTCAGTTCCAGATGGCAAACATCTGTCATGGGAATTACAGGCGGTTAGTTATAGTTTTGTAAATACTTTGTTCTCCTTCTGGTTGCATGTGTGTTGGTGAATCAGTGACCTCGCCTCTGTTCATTGGAGGGAAAAGATTGTTTGAACATCCGGGATGTCGCCTGTGATATTCATTCAGATGATCCATGCAGATTTTTCCTAAGAAGTAATGAATATTTGATCTCATAAAATGCCAAATGATTGACAATGGTGAAGAAATCATTTTTTATTTTTATGTGGCAGTACTGGAGCGGAGAAAAATATCTGTATGAAACTTTGCGTGTGAGGTGTACAAATCATCCGAATTATGCATGACTCTATGTTTAATTAACCAGTGCATGTAAAGTTCTTACCTCAGCTCCACAGGGGCACTCACAGGACTCCCCTCAGCAAAAGTCACGCACGTACAGTACCCGTTAAAAGTTCAGATATACTTTCTCGTTGAATCGAAGGATGCGGGTCCAAGCATTAGACTTGTACTGGATGCTCAGTTGTTCAAACAGCGTGGACCAGCACATAGCAGCTCACTTACACAACAATAAGAACATAAATATCACAACTATGAAAGATTACAGAGTATATGCTCTAAAACTCGTGATGTGCATTTTATATCTGTACACATACTCCTTTTACATGGATTTTGCCATTTTTATAGCTCTAACAAGGGAGGGGAATTGCCTAAAACAAAGGAGGTCCCTTCCCCTCCCTCCCCCGCACTCACACACATATACACAAACTCACAAGAGTGTACCAAAGAAAGCATTTGCATCTCTGGTCCGCTGCCAGTGGAATAAATAAATAGATGTGCCTTTCCCATACATGGACCACATACTGAGCCAAAGCTTTTTAAATGTCTTGCCTTTTGAATAAATAATTGGGAATTTTGATCTACAGCCGAGATGCTAAGCATCGGTGCCCGTATACGGTAAATAATGTGTCCAATCCTAAAACAGACTGAATTGATATCCTATCTGAGGCTCTTTTTTACTCAATAGCTGCTTTTAATACAGTTAAAAATGTTGTTTACCTTGCAACAACACTAATAATATAACAAACCTTCACTTCTGCTCCTAACAACCCTATTAGATTCGGAATGCTCAGCACTGGTAGGGAAATAAACACAACTCACTCCCACTGCTTTCCTTCACGATATGCACACAGTCACATTTTCTTAAATCGGAGCCGCTTCATGATTGTTAATTTGCCAACATTTAACACTCTCGTGTTCTTATTTGTGAGGCAGTAAATAAAAAATCTGTTACCTTCTACGTTAGTGTAAGAGAGAGTGAGAGGGGGAAAGGTCTCTGTTACCATTGTGAATCAACACACAAGCAGGCAGCTACGTAAGACGCTCATCACGGTACAAGTCAGGAAGCAGGGGGCAAATTCATTGTATTTCTTTGTGTGCGTGTGTGTGTGTGTGTGTGTGTCTTTGTGTGTTGGTTAAGCAGATAAAGTGGTGTATAAGAAGATCAAATGTAAGGGCAACGCCTGTAAAGGACGGGGATGTGTCACCCTGAAATGCATGTCCTTCCCGTGCTACCATTCACTTGTCAGTAGAGTTATTACTGATTACTACATCGGTTGCACAACAGCACAAGGGCACAAGGACACAGGGAGCTAGAAATAGGTTGAAAGGCTGACAGATGAGTAGAATCAGGCGCAGAAAAAAGAGGGAGTGGCGCAGGAAGGCAGGAGCAGCTTGAGCGTGCGCTTGTTTGGCGAGAGGAGTCAGAAATCCAAGGGAACCGTCGCATAGAAGAGATTCGTCCCTCAGTGACAGATCTGAAAACCAGTGAGCGGAATCAACAGGGGCAAATCCCCATTAAGATACGGAGCCGTGGAGGCAAACTACAGCGGCAGGCTGAAGGAATCGTGAAAGAAATAGAGGACTGTTATTCTCTGTGTTGTTTGACCAGGCCGGTTCCCACGGTGACGAGATGGGTGCAGTGGTGGGCACTCTGACCATGCAAACCAAGCAGAGGAGACCATCCAGAGGTAGGTCAACATTAGTCTGAAAAAAAAGATGGGGAGAAGACAAAAGAGCAACAGAAGCCGAGACTTAACCGAGAGAGTGAGTGAAGCGAAATAACACAGAAAAAAAGCCTTCAGTTGTGATTTGTTTTTTTTATTTTCCACGTGTTGAACACTTGTATATTTACAATAACATATAGATTATTGCCATAGTTCTGTGGAGCAACTATGAATTATTTAAGGAAGAAGTCAGGAAACAGCCAAAATAGACCGGCTAATGCATTAAACCAAAACAATGGAAAAGCAAAAAATATCTATGTTTTTTATTATGTGTCAGAAATATTCCCTCATGGAAGTAAGAAGTGACAGCCGTAATTGTCACTATTGTGATATAATAGTGCACCGTAAAGTATAGGATGTGCGAGAAATAAGGAGAAATAAGATAAGAGCAAAACCCCTGCAGCTGGCTCCATGACTGTGTGCGTGTTTGACGCGGACGAGAGTCAAACGTGTGGGTGAGGGTTCAGGCGAGAGCCTGTGAATTAACAGGCAGCTCACATATCCTACATCTCCCTGGCTTATGCTTGAGATCCTGGTTGTCATGGAGACTGGGTTGTAGTGTGTAAGAGGAGAGTGCCACGGATGGAGGATGAATGAGGAGTTTATAGAATAGAAATCAAATTGTACAAACCGGCAAACAAAACCATTACTCTCCGAGGTGATGGAATCATTTGTGCTTTTTTACATTTGGGGGGGGGGGGGGGGGGGGGGTGCACAGAGGTCATCCTGTTTTTTTCAAAGCTCCATTAAAGTTAGTCTTGCATAGAGAAGGAGGTGAGACGAGGAGACTTTATTGATCCCCAGGCGGGAACAAAAGTATCTCAGTAGCACTAGAAAGCGCACAGGTCAAAGCGTACAAATAGAAATGCGTCTGAGTCAGAGAGCTAAGTACAACATCACGATACTCCAGACCACACAGCATTAAATGTTTTGTGTGGAAAAGCAGCTCATCATTTTCAAAAACCAAAGGTGGATACATCTGTTACATACTGTATATGTACAGGTATGCGTACATACAGTATTTAAGGGTTGCAGGGCAACAATCAGGGACTGGATTAAACCAACCAAAAATAACTTGTTAGTGCGACATATTTTCTGATGAAGCATAGGATTTAGGGCTAAGACCTCACAAAGTTTACCAGAAAATCCCACTGAATCCAAACGGTTGTGTACAGCAAGAGTTAGACCATCATATTATTAGTGTGCAAAAGCACTACTGGCCTACAGCTGCTGCTGCAGCAGTTGGAATGAACAGTACAACATGATGTCAATGCATGTCGTCTCCATCACTTTATCAGATAACACTGAATCATTTTATGCGGAAGGATGTTCACATGCACATCAAATGTCGGAAAATGTACTGCATGACTCCTGCTTTATGTTCAAGCCTCAATCCTAGAAATGTTGGTTGTGTGTCTGCAGTATTTCTGTGCCTTGTGGAAATGTCACTGGTAATGTTGTCATCTCGCGGCCATGAATCTTTACAGGTGTGTAGTTGAGGTCAGTCGCTCATTGAATCCCATTTGTCTTTTTTATGTCCTCCAAACATATTGCGTGATCCTATTCTGCCACGTGTTCTCTCTCTCTCTCTCTCTCTCCCTCTCTCTCTCTCTCACTCTCTCTCACTCTCTTCCTTTTTCTTCATACTTGCCCTCCTCCCCCTCATCAGCACCTTTGCGTCTTTCCTTTTCTCACCCTCATTTCATCTGTTTCTGATCATACCGTTTCCCAGCAGAGAGAACACGTGCACAGTGCGGCAGAGCAACACCTCTGTTGTTTTGTTGTCATGTGACTAACGTTTTACTGACAGACAAAATAAATGCACAAATTGTTTTCACACCTTTTTTTCTCTCAGTTGTTCCGTTGAAGGCACCACTGTTGACATTGCTTGTTTCTTACTATCCCCATGACAACCAGAGCAAGGGAGATCGCAACAGGAGCTGAGAGGAAGATGAGGATAAGATTGAGACAAAGCAACACAAAACCGCATCCTGTATGTTCAGCAGATAACTGACTAAACATTAAATATTCCAAACCAGTTCAGCATTCACAAAAGCCTTGAGGTTAAAGTACTCAGATGGGGCCGATCTATAGACTGTCGCATCAGATCTGTCCCAAAATACTTGCTTATAAAGATTCATAACCTGCGTATCATTTTAAGAATTGTTAACAATTATTACAATTATTATTCGTTTGAGCTAAATAGACACAATTCTGAAAACTGAAATTTAATTTAAAAAAACTGAATAGAAATGCAGCTACTAAGACATACAGTTAAATCCTCTTGAAATTGCATAAGAACCAGATGACGAACAGTGTATTTGATACAACATGAAGATTGCCCCTGGCAGGGGACGGATGACACTAGATACAGTTTAACATTGAGGATTCATCTTGACATTGCTGCTGGTCAGGTTGAAATGAATGAGTCATTGCCGCCCTCCAAGAAGCAGGCATTCTATATTCATAATCATCTTCTTTTCAAGGCCTGACGGATCCAATTGATGCTGCAGCTGCAAAGCTTTCTTGTAAATGCAAATCATTCATTTTGTCAGCTCTAATTGCGAGAGTTACCATGGAAATAGCTTTAATATCACTTGGTCTCTGTGCATGCAACATGCTATGCTTGTTACACAGGGACCAGCTGGGATATAAATGTAACCAATTCCAGAGAGCACCATGTTCAAATACGCTGCCAGTGAATGCAATAAAGACTTTCAGAGAGTACATTAGGGGTGGTTTTTCGCTCGAATGTTTAAAAACTTGTAGGTGTGTGTACTTATGTCCACTGTCAGATGCAGCCACATTAGCGTTGTTTGTTGTAGCGATGTACACTTGCTTATAGCAGAACCAGAACTCTTCAGATCATGAACCACCATCCGTCTCCACAGAACCTGATACTGAGCGCCCTGTCACCATCCACAACATCAACATAACATCCCTCAAGTACATGTGGTTCTTCTCCCCACTATGTCTGTGTGATTTTGAGCAACTTGCTTCCCCTGTGCTGACGTTGCTGTCTCTTTCCTGCATATTACAGTTTTCAAAATTATAATAGTAGAAATAATGCATTTTATTTTTAACACACTTTTCATCAACAGATTTCAGAGAGGGGAAATTATAGTCAGAGAAGTCTTGGAAAATGATTCCGAGCGGTTAAAACATTTCTTTACGCCTCTCGCTTACTTTTCTCCTCTAGATAAGATAGATGATGAGCTCGAGATGACGACGGTGTGCTACAGGCCAGAGGGTCTCGACCAATTGGAAGCCCAAACTAACTTCAGCAAACAGGAGCTGCAGATCCTCTATCGTGGATTCAAGAATGTAATCACACACATTCTCAATCTATTATTATATTCATTTGGTGTATATTATAGATGCTCAAAGTGAAGATGCTGGCATGTCTGTAGACTAAAAGTCTTTAACTTGCATTATTACTTGAATCAACAATGTAGACGTGGTCTTAAATCTCTGATTTCATGTCTTCTTTAATACAGCATAATGTTCATTTAGTCACATGTGGTCCCATTTGGAGTAAAACACTTACATCATGTTTTTAATGGAGTAAATCGTAACATTTTAGTCACTTGTGTGCCTACATCCAATCCCTCTTTGCAGTCTATGAGTGTACATTTTTTTAGCATTCTAATAATGCTGGATAAAATGCTGAAACAAATATTATTAGGGTGAAATAAACAGTCTCTCGTTGACTAAAGGATTCTCATCATAATTCATCTTTTCTTTCCACAGGAATGCCCCAGTGGTGTTGTAGATGAGGACACATTCAAACACATTTACGCACAGTTCTTCCCTCATGGAGGTAATGTGCAAATGTCTGAACCTGCTCTGTGAAACGTTTTCAGTAAAGGAGACCTTACACACGTATTGTTTTTCTTTGCAGATGCAAGCATGTACGCACATTATCTTTTCAATGCATTTGACACTACAAACAATGGCTCCATTAAGTTTAAGGTCAGTCATCCTGCTTTGTCATTTGCATTATGACACATTTATTTACTTTAATGTCAGATTCTAAGTTTTTACGTCTGTCCCTTTGCTGTCAGGACTTTGTAGTAGGTTTGTCTACACTGCTGCGAGGATCAATGAGAGAAAAGCTTGAGTGGACATTTTATCTTTATGACATCAACAGAGATGGCTACATAAACAGAGAGGTGAGACCACGCTGGACTACGGTTTTTCTGTGACACCAACAGTCTCTGGTGCATCACAATGTGAATCTTCTCTTTTCTCAGGAAATGACTGAGATTGTGAGGGCCATCTATGACATGATGGGCAAGTACACCTACCCCGCACTAAAAGGGGACGTCCCGCAGCAGCATGTGGACGCCTTTTTCCAGGTTATTTTCTGAAATGTATGATTGAAAGTAAATATTGACAGTTGATAAAACAATGGGAATCTCAGTTATTCAAAGAATTGTTTGTATAGTATTCCATTGTGTCAACAGTTTTCTCCACGTTTGATACATGAGCTCACAATGAACAGGTTTCCGTAACGTGATTATCAAATATATACTAAATTTGGTACTAATTTACATTGTATTCCAGAAAATGGACAAAAACAAAGATGGAGTGGTGACTTTGGAGGAGTTTATCATGGCCTGCCAGGAGGTATGTGTTGAGTTTCCTATTTCTATATGTAATAATGCTCAAATGCATGCGTATAAACATAAAGTAGACAAATAAAATGCTTGTATTTACATACGCACAGTGCAATTCACTACATCTTCAGATTAGAACTCATTCAAAAAAAACAAATATGCATTGTTATATTGTTTTGGGAAAGTTAAAATGAGGCCATAAACATGCAGAAAACATAGACATACACATCATAAAGACATCTGCATGTCCTCCAGAGTTCTGTAAATAATTATTATGTTATATCTGGATGCAGCCCATACAATAGTATCCACCAGGGTTGCATTTCATTCTGCTCTGATAACTTCTCCCTGCGTAGGATGAGACCATGATGAGGTCCATGCAGTTGTTTGAAAACGTGATGTAGGACAAGAGAAGAGGATGGAGACGACGTGGAAAAATGAGAGGGCTTGGTGTGAGTGCGTGTGTGTGTGGAAACATGCATGTGCAATACATCCAGTCTCTCCCCCACTCCCAATCGTATCCAGCTGTGGTCGGGATACATTAAGATTCCCCCCACAATGACTAGAAAGAAGGGGGCTGGACTGGGATCCAGTGCGCCTTCCTGCAGAGTGACTGTCCCACTTGGAAGTAGAAGACATCGCTCTCGGTCCCGTCCGTGACCATTGGCCTGTTAAAGATCAACATGCTCTTATATTGCAAAGCTGCTCCAGACCAGCGAAAAGCTATCTTTCAACCAGCAGAACTTTTTTTCTCTTTTCTCACCAAGATTGTCCTTTCTTTTTGTAAGAATATATTTGCATGCTTTTGCAAGAGGCTTTGATTTATCTCCAAACATTTGTTAAATTTGTTATGAAATCTGATAATCAGGACTTTTATATTTATCCCTGTTGAAGTGACCCCTCTGTTTTGGTATTGTCGCTTGCCTGCCATGTCTATCAAGGCGTACCGTAGAATGTCAATGAATTTGGAAACATTTTAAGGGTCTTAAATGGTGCGTTAGTGTCACTGTTCTTTGTCTATGTTGGAACTGAGGTTGTAGAATAAGAAAATAGTGTGAAAAATGTGTGTGCATTTTGGATTTTGTGTGGAAGTAACCGCAAAAAGAAATGATGGATAGCAATCAGGAAGAGTGACCTGACCAGCACAGCGATATCTTTATTTGCACATAATCAAAATGTAACCCAGTTGTGACGACAATGATGACGGTAAAAATATACATTTGGTAAAAACGGATTGATCTTCTTTGTAAGCAAGTAATTATCTACATGAAATGATATACCTCCTTACAAGCGTAGTCTGAGAAACAGTTGGATGATGTGCCATTTTGATTAAATCCTAGTATGAGGAATTTTCTGATAATCTTGCAAGAAAATAACACTCAATTTCAGCTTTGTAATATAATATTTGATGTCACCCAGGACAATTCCGTCTGTATTATGATTATATATATATATATATATATATATATATATATATATATATATATATATATATATATATATATATATATATATATATATACACATATATTTCTATGAGTCAGGGTGTGTTTGAAAGCACACCTATAACAGCATATTATATATCATAATTTAAATGTACACGTTTTTGGAGTTTTTTTTGTCTAATGTACTTATTTTGCACTAAATAAGTAGTAATTGCACAAAAAAGCTCATCACAGTTTGTTAATGGAGCAGCTCTTCGCTAAAGGTTACACCAGTGTGACATCACAGCCTCTGTTATTGAATCTCATGAACAGAACGTTAACTGTAAGCCATAAGAATAAAAAAATCTAAATTCTTATATTGAGTGGTGTTTTGCCTGTGTGTCTGTGTGAAATGAATGTATGTGTGTTTGAGGCCCCTCCGCTTCTCCTCAACGAGAGTGTGGAGGCTGTGATTATGATTTTAACCTTTTTAGTTTTGGAAGGCCATGGCCGCCAACTAGCCAGGACATCATCCCGCACTGATCCACTTAACTGTACAAAGATGTTCGGAATGAAGTTAATTTTACGTTGAAATAAAAAGACATTGATAAATAACACGTCCTAGTGACGTTGTTACAACACCACAGTTCCACTCATACATCATCACAAACATGAACATGCAGCCATTACACAGTATAGCACAGTCCCAAATGTGATGCTGTACAATTAGGGAACAATATTACATTACATGCCATTTCTATCTATCTATCTTTTTATCAACATAGGGCTGTCTCCATCTGTGCTGTGTCCATTGTGTTGCGGCTGGGGGCGCTGTTTCTTTTCTTGTCTTTCTATCTGAAGCAGAGAAGAAGAGAGGAGGCGGCGCAGCACGTTGCTAGCAAGTGGTAAGTAACTTTCACAAGCGCCTCGATAGCAGCAGCAGCAGCACCTTTAAGAAGCAGTCTAAACAGAGAGAAAATGAACGGCATAGAAGAGGAATCAATGGCACCACAGACGTTCCTTTACGGTAAGAGACGACGCGTTGTTGGAGGTTATGTGGTTTCAAGGTGTTTTAGTAGCGTTTAATTTGACGCATCTCCACGTGGGTCTGTCTGAGAAACCGATACAGAATCACACGTGGCGACGTCTTTCCTCTTGAGTTTAAACGTGGTGTTACTGTTCGATACTAAAAGAAATTAAGTGAACGTAAATGTGTGACGTTGTTCATCTTTCCGATACTTTTGTCTTGTGAGCAGCGCGGCCACCATCGGCCGGACCAGAGAGCCGCACACGTGTTTCTCAACATGGCGGCGCCCGTGCGTTTTAATAATTCACCGTCTTATTGCGAAACTAAACGTTGGAGCACCGTTATTACTCTCCCTCGTGTTATTGTATGCATGGATGAAAACCGTGCGCACGTTTTTGTCATGACGTTAAGCAAAATAAAGGCTCAACGTGGTTTGAGACGCACGCGGGCCATGCTGACTTAAACGGATGGACCTTTTTGTAATCGACTTCTTCGCGCAGCCAAACCAGCCTAAGCAGACATTACATTAGCAGTGATTTTTATTGTATTGCCTTACCAAGAGATGTAATCGCCAACATTTAAACTGGGACTTTAAAAGAACCTCTACGCGCCGCCACCTCGTAACCATCGTGGCACGCAAACTGTTTACTTTTCAATATGAAGTTTTCCCCACAGATGGGTTAATGGCTGTGATCAACGCTGGCTAGAAAATGTGCCCTAAAATACAAATTAATTCAGAGACGAGGGTGTTCAACACAAATTCGTATTAGAGATTTAGAAACAGACTAGGCATACGAAATTAGATATAACGCCGCTTTTAGATATTTGTATTTTAAAAAAAAGAAGCTATATTCTTGTTGAAGTATAGTAAGTCTTCCATTTAGCACTTTATTACTATTCTGTAGTGGTTTAATAGTCACATCTCGACTGAGGGGTTCCTCTGTGAAAAGGCCATGTGGCATAAACTAGTCTTTAGGGCGCCCCCTTGTGTACATGTGGCACTTTGCGCCCTCCAATGAAGTGACGATGCAACTATTTTTAAAAGTAAATAGCTAATCTGTCAAAGATTAAAATGTATGTGTGTATATATATATGCAGTTAATGTTGGGGCTATTTTTGTAAACCGCATGTGTTGCTTTTGTCTTTTCCACAGGGTGCGTGCTTGAAAGTGGAAAGGAGGTGCTCTTCAACCCGGAGGACGATGAATTTGAGCATCAGCTGGATCTCAGGATGGTGAGAACCCGGCACCTTTGAGCCCACCAGGCAGAGACTTAACGTTTGCTTAATCTGAATATGACCGAAGCAGAAATGATTGTGTTTAAAGTGTTGTAACATATAATTGTAATTTGGTTTGCTCAAGGTAGCATCCCGTACTATGTTACTGACTTGCGGTTTTGTGTTTCAAGTTTTAAACTCATTTTCTGTTGCAAACCAATATTAAGACGTACCACAATTGCATATCTGAGACCCAGGCACAATTTAGGTCTTGACCAAGGTCAGCTAAATTTTTTGCTACTAGATTTGGGGCTGAAATATCTCCATTTACAATGACTGCACCCTGGATGTTGATGCAGAATCGCACTTACCTGCTGCCTTGCCCTTAGGCCTGCGTGGACCCGAGTACGGCAGATGAACTTCACATGGTGGAGGTTGAAGGACAAGACTCAGAGGGTCAGAAAATCAAAGCAGTGTTGGTCTCACTTAAGCCCTCAACCCTGCCAAGTGTAAGTATACTTACTGCTTACGTTTCTTCCGTGTGTGCGTGTGCGCGCGCCACCCCACCCAACTTGATATCTGTAATGGCTGAATAATGCCCCATCATCACAAACATTGGGCGAGAAGTTGACTTGATTTCTTGCAGGTGTGTCTCGGCGGTTTCACTATCACACCCCCAGCAGTTTTCCGTCTGAAGACCGGCGCTGGTCCAATCCACATCAGTGGACAACACCTAGTCAGTGAGTATGCAGATGCTTAACCTGAGCAGTGTGACTGTTTTATTTGAGTTTGAAAAATGCTTTTATTTTATTGTAGCACCAAAGATTCATTTGCATTGGTTAAGTCTTTAAACAATTTTTGAATGACTTTTAAAGTGATGGACGCAGACCAGTCCTTTGAAGTAGATGACGACGATGAGGAGGAGGAGGAGGAGGAGGAAGAAGAGGAGGAAGATGTCAAATTGTCAAAGAAAAGACCCGCTTCCTCTCCTGCCCTCAAGTCTCAGGTTTGTTTCACATTCTTGTCTGATATTGGTCAAAAGGAATTTGCCTGTAACTCATTCTTCATGTCCTTTGCAGAAAAAGATTAAAATGGATATTGACGACGAAGATGATGACGATGAGTGAGTGATGCTTGCCACATATTTAATTAATAAACATTGTAGCTCAGTGGGGTTCAAACGATTGTCTGTACATGTTATTTACCTTAAATATGAACTTCGATGCCGCTAAGTTGAGCAAAAAGTTACTTTCAAAGGACAAGTAACTTTGTTTGTCTGTGGGAGAGCACGGAACCTCCAAAGAATATTGAGTGTATATTATTCAATATCTAATATATTCCTTTGGCATTTGCGTCAGTTTTTGGAGCAGAGAATCTATTCACATTGTGTTTAATCATGGCATACTTGTTTTAAAGAAATTGTGTTTGTTTTTAGAGATGATGATGAGGAGGATGATGATGAGGAGGAGAGTGAGGAAGAGTCACCTGTTAAGGCAAGTGTAATCTTGAACGGGACGCTCCAGCGGCACAAGCGTGTGGTTTTCGTTACTTACCAGTATCTCCTTGTCGTTCCACAGGCCAAACCGGCTGCTTCCAAAAAAAACGCTGCATCCCAGAATGGCAAGAACTCTACTCAGAACACTCCCGCCAAGAAGCAGGTAACACTTTGATTTACGGTGGTTTTTTTGTGTGTTTTTTGCACTGAATATCATGTGGCTTCCACATAAAAGGTGGTAGTCGGTATATTGCAGCATAGTGAAAAGCTTCATCCGATGTAATGTCTCCAAATGAGAAACTCCCCTCCCTGAATCTGAATTGTGTTCATTTCAGGAGAAGACCCCTAAAGGAAAGGGTGCCAAGTCGCCTAAGACCCCCCCTAAAGCACCTCTACCACTCCCCGAGCTTAAAGCCAAGCTGATGGAGGCAGTGAATAAGGTTGGTGTCCCTCCAAGGCTGTTTTTAATAAGTCAACAGTTGTATTTTTAGGGCTGTCGTTTTTGATATTGGCCACAGGTAATATGTGGCACAATGGAAGCGTTTGGAAATGTTAATTTGCTCAACTTTTACAGGGAGTAACATTACCCAAAATCCAGCCCAAGTTTGAGAACTTCGTGAAGAATGGTCATCATGTCACAGACCCCAAGGTACGGGAACTCCTTCATCACCCAAGAAGTTATCTTGAAACGTTTTATTTGTATGAGTTTATTTGGCTCACTGGGAAATGAATAGAAATGTATACTCGGATGACAGACATCTTAACCAGTGGTCTTGTATGAATGTCAGTAGATTATTAATTAACCCTTTGTAAATGTGCCTCATGCTTTGACAACGTGCTTGGTTCTTTTTATCTTTAGATGGTTGCCGAGCTGTGGAAGTGGAGACAGGCCATGAAGGATACTAAATAACTGTCTGCAGAGTTCTTTTTATGACCAGTTTATACCCACAGCACCTCTCAATCCCTCTGAAACTAAACTTGATGATTCTAAACCTGGTCGGATGTCTGTCCTCAGTCGGCCTCACTAGGGGAGAATATCATTTGCTTTACTAAACCAGCATACCAATTTGCAATCGTGTAAAATTCACATTAGATTGTTGGGCAGCACATGTTTTTCATTTTGTTTTAAACAGAAATAGTTACGGTTAATTCAGACTTTTGCCGGCAAAAACCACGTGCAGGACTAGCAACAAAGCAGCTCAGGAAACATTCAGGTGACATCAGCATTTGGAGCAGAAATCTTTGGCTGACATTAATGATCTCAATGGTGAAACTCCTTGGCTTTCATTAATTTTGCATGTGTTTTTCACCATGATCATGAATAATTGCACTTTTGGAAATGTTTTGAATGTTAATGCTGTTGAGATTCCTGAGGTCAAGACCCCGTAACATAAATTCATTCATGTGTTTAACCGTCCGAAAGTAATGAAACATTTTGTATAGCGCTGCTTTAACCTTTTGGTGAGAAAATGTCCCACACATGTAATCCTGTGGTTGGTCTGTTTCCATTCCTTGCGTTGCAATGACTACACCCCATTAGGTCAAAGGTTAGTAACTATCCGTTGTTGTATGCATGAAGGAATCCAGCTTTTCTATTTTGAGTTGCAAATGTCCACTTGCACTCAAGTTTGAGGCTTCATCCCTGTTAGAGCCAAATATCCATGTTCTTAAACTAGTGTAAATTTGTACGAGTTGAGCTATGCTGCGAGTTTAGTGCATGAAGTGAAATACGGATTATCTACAGTTCAAGTTCTCTATCGTGGAGATCAGAATTTTACTTTTTTTTTTAAGATGAATGCAGGTTTTGCAACAATGTACTTTCCATTAAAGTTTCAACCGAAATCCACTAGTTTTTATTGTTTGGCAAAGTCCATGGCTGCAGGATCTACTCGGGCCACTACTGCACGTGAACCGCAGTGATGTGGCAGCATTCAGATGCAATTAACTTAAGACCAAGCTTATATTTAAAAAAGACCTCCAATTATTCAGAAATAACATGTCTGCTATACAAACTGCCAATGTCACCTTGTTTCGAGCTGGTTGTAATTAACACCATTCCATCGTCCTTTGATTGCATAACGGTTTAGCTTTTACCACGCCATTAAACCATTTCTGCTTGCAGTTTTACTGGCTCCTTGCTGTTAAAGGGTGATGTCAAACTAATTCAACTTTTCCTCAAAGCAGTTGAGGCGAGCTGACTAGTCAATCACAAGGATGATTTGTGAAGCGGATTCTACTTAATGAATCCCAAATAAAGCAGATCTGAGCCAGCCGGTTACTTTTGCTTTGAAAATCATTAAAGAAAAATAGTTACCAGTACACCCCACAAGGTGGCAAAATAACCAAAGCAATGAGGCTGTGGACGTAAAGTAAGATGGCTTCCAGCTTTCTAAATGGCAAAACTGCCATATGATTGGAGCATTGGTTTCTGGATTTTCAAGTGGAATCTTGTACTGGCAATACGAAAATAAGATTTTACATTTTTATTTATGTACAAGAAACATTAAAAAAAGACATCAAATCGATAAGCCAGGCTCATTCACACAAGTTGTACCAAAGAAAGCAGTCATGTATGAAAGTTGAGTAAAATTAATCAGTAATATTTTATATCATTAAATGACCACAGTAGCATTGAGTAATTTTATATATAAATGATTTACTGCTGTTTGGCCTACACACACTATCAGAGTTCCATCGCTACATCAGTGCATTCAAACCACTCAAGACATTGTACATCCTAATGCACTGTACATTGTAGCATATGAAATCAATGTGCAATATCACGTGGTGTTTTACCTTTATTTGGATATACTACACAGCATACAAATCAAAAGACACTAACTGTATGGAAAGGCCAATTTACTTTTAAATTAAAGCCATTTTTAAAAACTTTAATGCGTTAAAAATAATTTTGCAGTAAGAGGAAATTTCTGAACAAAAATATTAACAGATTTTTTTTTAAAAAACAGCGATTGCATCCTGGGACACATCTCTCCAAAACAATAAGCTCTGCACTTCGACTAGCATGAATGTCAGTGTTCATACAGCCTAACTGCTCAAACGTATTCCTTGCTGCTGCTGGGAGGTCTGGAGATGGGATACTTGGGCGTGGACTTTGGGCTGCCTTTCGGGCAGGACGCCGCCAGCATGCCGCCTCCCACTAGAGCCAGGAATGATCCAGCCCAGGCAATGAAGATGGCAGAACCAAACTCGTACCTTCACAGAGAGAGAAGTTGGGGGGTAAGTCAAAAAGGGGTGAAATGACGTCGGCAGAGCGCCGATTGGTAGTCAAACAAACATCCATTCCCAATACAAATCGCCAGCATGAGGGGCTGAACCCAAGCAAGTGAGTATAGAAAGGGCTGGAGCTTAAAGCCGGCATCTTAAATCAAATCAGGCCCAACATGTTTAGAACGACACATTGAGAATTGAGGGGAATAAATAAATCCAGAAACATTTCAAGGGAAAGAAATGTCCGTTTTTAGATTCCCACAAGGACCTCTGCAAAAGAGCGGGGACCAAGTGGTGAACTTACTTCGTATTGACGGGGGTGAAAGGGTTGTAGAAGGCTTTGATGATGTCGTTAGCGTACCAAGAGCAGGCGATAAGGGCACACAAAGCTGTGGGGATGTAAAAAACATGTTAAGATTTTAAGTGTAAAAGGGAATAGACACAAAAAAAAAAAGAGCTAAAATGGCTTCTTACAGCCAATCAGGATGATGATTCCAGCAGCCATGGCAATGCGGGTTTTGCGCGTTTTGTCATCTCCTCCACAGTTGGTGCACTTCATTCCCATGCAGGCTGCGCCCAGGCCAACCACGATTACGATGATGCTCACGATCATGAGGGCGCGCGTCGCCTGGAGGGCACCTGGTGAAGGACAGGAGAGGGTTAATGCACCGCTTATTGTGAAGTATTAAACGCTCATTGATAATCGCTACACGGGGTCACGGGTGTGAAACCACTTGGGGAGGGGGGTCCAACAAAGGCAATTTTAACTTCTGCAGTGAGGTTTATAACTCAGACAAAAAAAAAAAAAATCAGCACGTACAAGCACGGTTCATGCACAACAGGGTGGCTTGTCTCACCGCCACTCCCTAGATAAACGAACCATAGAAACCGTCTCCAACCCGGAAGCTCAAAGAAACAAGAAGGGGGGGGAGGGTGTGTGGGCTCGTATGCTTTCTAGTCAAACTGGTCTGACCAGGTTTCACGTTTCATTTTTACGAAAGACACTCCCGATTCCAGGTACTCCCAACGTACTTTCAACAAAGCGACAGTTTGCGTCCTCCAGGTAAAACGGCCTCCAAAAAACAGGGACTCTGGAGACATCTAGTCACATTAATCTCAACGCAGAAGACACTCTTCAGAGTACAGCAGGTGTTTTGAGCAGTTATTTGTCCACTTGTTCCATATCTGACCGCCGCAGCTTTAATCACACAATGTTCAAAGTTGGTTTGTGTTCATGTTTGAAGAAGGCGATAAGAAACATTGTGCCGAAGATACTTTATCAAATGTTTTGATAAGCAAAATAATTAAATAGCTAAAATAAAAATAAAAAACACACTACATGGCCAGGTGAACTTAACGGGTCCGATTCAAATATAAACTCATACGTTGAGCGACTGTTGGCGCCCAGGGAAGGGCCGACACACAAGCATCCCTGGAACATTCAGGCAGTTTAATCTATACACAGCAGATTTACTTTAAAACGACTCATCGGTCAGGACACCACTGAGACATTTACTGCTCTAACAAAGAGTCAAAGTCAGATGTTTGCCTTTAAGAAGGACATTCAACTCTGCAACTTTTAGTTTAACATCTTTTTTTTTTAACCGATGAACACCTGGTTCCCCATCCTGTGTTTTCTGCCGGCCCAGAAGGGCCTCGTGCCCAGCCTGAAACTAAATGCGGCATTAAATAAACCCACAAACTTTCTTCATTATGTATGAATGTAGACTAGATTTGTTGGGGGAGAGGGGGAGGGGTGTCACACCACATGGCAAACTAATGGCTCCGTGTGGACTGGAGGCCCCTGGAGAAGAACAGACAAAGCAGCCGTTTGTGGGGGAGGTATGCAGACCTGTTGACTAAACAGCAGCTCACACAGGTGACTGTGCGGCCTGTTGAAAGTCCTACACAAAAAAAGAAAAAGAAAAGGGGGTTTCACCGATGCGGGGGAGGGGGGGGTGGGGGGGGGGCGGCCAGCAGGATAATCATTGCCCAACGTTGAGGTGTAAAAAAGGAAAAATGAAGGAACGTAATCATCATCTCCACAGTGCCGGTGAGGCCTCACAGGGAGGTTTGAACTAAACGACTTGGAGGGAATGAAAAGGGAGGTTAATAAGTGACGGAACCGGTTTCTCTTCACAGGAATCTCACAGTTTAAGAGTCATAAAATACAGCCCAGAAGTACCTGAGGGGGGTGGAAGAAAAAAAAAAAAAGGGCGTTTATGTTCCAGCAGGTGCATGTCGGTTATATGTCGGTCATTAAAACACAGGGGTTTTTTATGCCGCAAAAGGGCAGTAAATGTACTTTAAAGCCAGTTTAGCCTTCAAGATAAGTTTATATTGATATGGGGAAACATTGCTTATAAATGAAATGGAAAAAACTGCAGCAGATGAGGTCATTACGCTTATAGCGTAATGGGATTTCACAGATTTTCAGAAAAGAAACCAGCCCGTAATGGCAAATTACAATAAATTAATTTGAAAAAAAAAAAAAAAAAAAACTTGGTGGAATCCAAAGCGCGTTTACTCACTGTTGAGCTGCAGGATGGAGTCGTACACCTTGCACTGGATCTGGCCTGTGCTCTGGAACGCGCAGGACATCCACAGTCCCTCGTACATGGCGATGGCCGTGATGATGTTGTCCCCGACGTAAGCGGACATCTTCCACTGGGGCAAAATGGTGCCAACGATCAATCCAATTAGGCCCAGGAGGCTGAGGGAGAAGCCCAACATCTGGAGACTCGAGTTGGCCATTTCGTTTTCCTTTTTCACTTCTTCCTCGACTTGACGGCGAACAAAAGACGGGCGTCCACCTGTGGCGAAGGTCCCAAATCCCCCCCGCCCGTAACGAACCGACGAGCGCTGCCCAAGTTCCACTTGTTGCTGATAAAGTTAGTTCTTTCGTAAGCGTTTGCTTCGGGTATTCCTTCGCCTTTCTCCAACGGTATCAGCAGAAGAACGGCGTCGTTTCAATTTATAGCGTCTCCGGGAGAATCGTTGCGCACCTGCACCTCTGCCGCACCTTGAATGGGGAAGGAGTCACGGGAGCGCGCGTTTAAGGCGGTTTCTGTCACAGGTGGGCGGGGACGCGCACGCAGTTTCGACTCATCGGCCGTGGCAGCAGACACCTGAAGTTTCATGACGTAGGAGATTCATGCGGAAACAGCAGCCAGCCCCCCCCACGCGCGGACTGACGGCCCCCGCGTAATAATGTAAGACTGCTTCCATTTGGGTCGCGGGCAGCTGTTGTGTTATTGTCAGTGTTATGTAGGAATGATTGGCGCAGAAACGTGTAACTCAAGTTATCGTTGTGATTCATAATAATCCATATTGCCAATGGAATTAGAAAAACACACGTGTAAGTAACCACGTCTAGACTATCCAGCTGGTGCTTGGTAAGCAGAAAAAACAGGGAAATAAGAAAACCTCAATGTATTTTAGGATATTTTACATGTGCAATCCATTAGAGAAATGACTACTACATACTAGATACGGTACGTTTCTTACAGCTTGTGTATTTGTTCACAATCACAACTCCAACCTCATATGATGTGAAAAGGTTTGTCCAAAATACTTTGTGAACAGTTAAGGCCCCAGGGAGAGACCCATGCTTTTACTCTGTAGATTAAGTTGAACAAACAATGGTGTTTATTCATGCAAGATGAATTTGATCAAAATGAGTTGGACCAACTCAATTTAACCCTATGTTCTTAGTTTGAGTTATAGGTTTACACATAAGTATTGGATGGAAATCCTGCCAACAATTTAATTGAGTTCTTCCGATGACTTGTTTTTTTTCATAATTATGATTATGATTATGATTATAATTATTTTCCAAAATGGGAAGTGGCCTTCGGGTAAGCGGAAGTTGGGCAACATTTTTGAATCGCACAAAATGGTGCAGGGGTTGGAGAAGGTGTGCTGGGAAGCACAAGGTTGTTGGTTCGATTCCAGGCTGCCCCATGTCGAAGTGTCCCTGAGCAAGACACCTAACCCCTAATTGCTCCCCGGGCAAAAATGTGAAAAAGCCATGGGTTTAAAGTGTAATGTAAGTCGCTTTGGATAAAAGCGTCTGCTGAATGACCTGTAATGTAATGTAACGGACACTGCTGATGAGGAAGTACCTTTTGAACCCAACAAAAATGAAATGATGGCAGCAGGTGTGGCTTTGAGGGCTCTCATTGATCCATCCTGTTAACACATTTTTCAACCGGCACGTACGATGTAGTGTATGCTTTGAATGAAATGATCACTGCTTATACTTGGTAATCAGTGTGAGTCCGGTTTTCCTGATCCCATCCTGACTCACGTGTTTATAGAGTGAAAAATAATGTTTGACTGAGACGCTCCCTGTCAAAGGGAAGGAGAAAGACGGTCCGTGATCAAGACATTTGACATCACACCTTCTCACTGGTGTGTTTTCCCGTGGATTATTCTGCAATCAGATAGACCGTTGCCTTTGCTTATTTCTAACCACGCAAGGAGTAACAACAACACCTTTCCGTAGAACCCGAAACCCTGTGGGAGAATTACTGGAAGATCACAGCGTGTACCAACTGGTTCACTATGACAACATGAGAGGAAATCCCGGGACTTTGATCTAACTTCTCGGCCGGATGGAGATAAAGTGTTGTTCACCATGTCCTATTGTTTAGTTTTGCGGCAATGTTTTTTTTGCAAGATTATATTTAGATTTTGCTTCAACTGCATGTTTGACTAAAATCTATCATGTGTAATGGAGCCATTTTAAAATCAGGCATGAATGTATGTCAAACAGGTGTTTTTCAGCCATTACTTATTATAAATCAGATTGTGCCAGAAGGAGATCTTTTCCACCCAAAAAGCACAGGCATGTTCATCACACACTTTTCCTTAATTGCATCATAATATCTAAAAATATACAGTGATAGTCAGTTCAGAAGTGACTATGATACTCACCCACAGAAGCTGTCTGAGTCATCAGATACTGTGAGACAGAGGAAGTAAGAAGTAAATATTATTTGCTTGTTCCAAGTTTCTTGACTAGTCGGATGACTCATTGACACAGAATGGATCAGTTTACATGTGATTATCCTGCTTCAGAGGGTGTGTCAACTCTCGGTGTCCTCCTCAAAAATATATACAACACTTAAATCCTAATTCAAGCACACAAATACGTTTGGAATTGAATATTGTTATTGATTTTTTTCTGAGGTTGTATTATGTACATTTACTGCCAATATAGTTTCATAATATGTTTAAAAAGAGTTTTCCCGTAGCAACTAATGAGATAAAGGCTAATCCAAGTTAAATCATTGCCATAACTATTTCCCATAACGTTCTTCGATGACTTGAGTCATGCTTTTTTACACTTTGATCCGATGTTTCACAATCAGAACCCACAGTATATTGATGAGTGCACATGTTGTATCAAGATTCCTGGAAGTAGGCTGAAGGGTCAAAGGTGAATGGAGGTAAGATAGATAAACTAACCCTGAAAAGCAATGCTGCTACCTGGTGGATACTGTGACTTCACAACAGATATATATATATATATATATATATATATATATATATATATATATATATATATATATATATATATATATATTAAGGTATAAGATATAAACATCCATTTCAGCTCTTTAATTTATCAGAATCCAAATTAAAAGTAAAGCAGTATGCAGTATATGCTGTTTATTAATTTTGTACAAATAGAGCAGAAAACCACGTTCACGTTCGTTAACTCCAACTTTTAAAGTACACACTCAAAAAGTGCACATTATGGAATGTTAACATATAAAGAAAGAATATATTAACATTTTAACTGGATATCAGGTGACTGGATGAGAGAATAATTTTGGATAGTTATACCCCCCATTTCGAACCCTGAGAAACAATAAATAACTATTATTCTTAATTTTACATGAATCATATATTGCTTAACAGTTACAGGGTTTGTGTAATACACAAGGGGGGGCATTGTCCATCCATAAAGATAAACAAAGTAGTTTGGTCCTTTAATGCTATTTTTGATGTTGAACTAATATTCAACATAATCAACAATGATCAGCAAGTTTGAAGCATTTGAATTACATCCAAATGTGCACGTATTTAAGAGTGTTCCTCAACTGGAACTACTCGTATTACATTGAATTGCTCAATTAAAGCTGCAGCTGCGCTTTGCTCAAAAACAATCCTTTACTTTTATTGTAGCCAAGCAGAAAAGCGATTCTTTCCATCTGAAAACGCATGCACCGTAAGACGCCTTCTATCTTTGTAGTGGTTTCTCATTGATTCCGCCTCAGAGCGATTTACTGATACAAAATATATTTTCTGAGCAGTCGATTGTGTGTTGTCACAAGACATTCAGTGGTCGGGAAAACATAATTAGATGCAACACATGCACGTAAACACCTGGCAAGGTTGTGATTTTCCCACGTCAGTTCAAATTTAGCGTGTAGATGCCTTCAACGGAAACACGGGCGTGCTGAGGGTAATTGGCTCTCCCATCCATCGTGAGAACTATATTTGGTTTAATGCCTTAATCCTTATTTGCTGCATTAAGAAATATAATGCTCCATTCAGTCTGAGCGTAGACTGCTCCTCTCTGTGTGGGCTTACTGAGAATAATCTTATATAAATGCACGCGTCACGCTTCTGAGATTTGAGATGTCCCAGTAAAGCACAGGGAGGATCAGAGCAGCAAAGACAGGACTGTCTGACCCGGGCCGAGGCTGCGTCTCAATGGGGGGAGCTCGTTTTGAAAGTAAATGACAACCCGGAGCGCACAATAATCTCACAGATTGCATGCTGCTCTACTTCAGCTGGTTCTAGAGAGTGACTTGTAGCTTAATTATCCCAGTCGGTGGGACAGGAGCCATCATCCGTTTACCACGGTTATCACTGCGAGACTGTGTCTCATTGACTGCTGGGTTGTGAACCAGAAGTAATTGCCGCTATTCATCCTTCTGATATATTTTGATTAAATAATCTTGGGTCTTTGAAAATAAATTCTTTGGACAGATGTGAGTTTGTTAATCTCAGACCAGACGAACACTGCTTAACGTTTGGGCAAATTGACATCAATGGTTTTGTACGTCTCCATGCTTCACGTTACCGTGTCATGCTTAACGTGAAATAACCCGACAGAGCAGTTTATGAGTTTAGTGATACTTTAAAGCTTCAATGTCATGGTTAGAGTCTAGTAGGTGGATGCATAGAGGGGCGAAAGGTCATGTCCCAGATTTTAACCCACTTTTTTTTAAAGATGATTGCCAAATTCCAGATTTTTTTGGAGGTCCGGATGTTTGCAGTTCCCAGTACCCAAACCGGAAGGGAAGGAGCTGGAGAGGTGCCAGTTCTCCTCCTAGGCACTGCCAATGAGCCTTTGAGCAAGGAACCACACTCCCGCTGCCCGTCGTGTGAGGCTGTGACCTCTAATTAATGATTGTGTATAGTTCCTCCCGTTTGCGCATGTGTGAATATATATATAGATAAAGATATCAAAATATAGACGTAGAAACATGTTTATATCAAACATATGCAATTTAGAAGGGAGTTCTTCTCCACTGGGTGGCACTGCAAGACACATATGTTTTAGATAGATAGATAGATAGATAGATAGATAGATACTTTATTGATCCCTCAAGAGGGAAATTTTGGAAATAATCTCATATAGTCAGATTACTGCAGGTTTATCAAATAACCAGAAAGTAATAAACAGAAATCACTCGAGGGCAGAGGTCAGGATGAAGGGTGAGAGCCCAGTTTGAGGACCAGTTTGTGATCTTAAAGATGGAAACGGCGGGTATCCTTATGGAGGAGTGCAGCGAACGAGCACCTGGTTTGAAGGTAAAAAGCTCGCTCTACTACTTGATGCTAATGTTGGGAGACTTTTAGAGTGAACATAAGAACCGCTTTGTTTTTATCAGCTTTGGTTTGGTACTGAATTATGGTGGGACTTTGTTCCATTGTTATTATACCATTGGCGGCTGTGCCGTACCTGCGGGGTCCACCAACCAACCAAATCGTGTCCTAGCTCTGCTGCTCCTGCTGCCACTTACAATAGTAATAATCATATAGCCACTTCACTTTAAAACCACCGTGTCACATTCTAATAAGTGTAAATATGCAGATTACCCATCAGTGCACCAAAGAGGAAACTAATACAGTGTTCAAGGGATTATGTGGGAAAAGACGACAAAACATCTAAGTGCACCACAGTGCTTACAATGGTACAAATATATTGTTATTTTATTGAATAATACTCAAGAATAAGACATCTCCTTACAAATCGTGTAGGAGTTATGGTGGAAATTTACACAGGTCTGATGGCGGAAATGGAGAGAGGGTGAATCGAGGGGCTTGTGTCTAGATTCTGAGAAGGATTCATCCCATAATGAGCCAAAGAACCGTGACGTATGCATGCTTTGCAAAATAAAATCCCTTTGTCAGTCTAGACAATTAGCAGTTATTTGTAGCCTGCAAATCCTGATTGTTTGTTAGCCTGTTAGTTTCTTTTCCTTGAGTGCAGGCTGGTTGTTCTCATTGCATATTGCTGGTCTTCATTCCTCTTTGATGCTTCCCACAGTGGCCCAAAAGGCCAGCATGTTCCCAGCCCCTCGCTTAGTCTCTTATTGCAAGGAGTCCAACATGTGTCTAAACCCCTGGTGGCACTCGGGAGGTGCCTGACGACTCGCTCAAGACTCATTTCTATTCATGGCTTTTTTTTTTTCGTTGTTATTTTTTTTTCTTCTTTTTTTTCTTTCTTTTTTGTATCGAAGACAAGAAGATTGAGTGGAAATAAAAGTTCATAAGAGTAGGAGAGAGAGAGAGAGAGAGAGAGAGAGAGCTTGGGGAAGTTTCCTGGAAGACTTGTGTGACCGTTACTCTGAGACCACCAGGGTCATTGCTGCGCATCACGAGACGCATGTTGAATACACGGAATCTGTCACAAACACAACTCTGTTACACAGTGGAGTCAGTTTGGGTTCAGTTCACTGGTGGGGGGTGGGGGGCTTCCATCCAAATAGGAAGAAACCAAAGGGAAGATCTGGACAGTAACAACAATTCGGAGAAGTTTGCATTAAGATGGAAACATGACAAAGTAGAACAACTCAACGACAATAAAATCAAGTCCTCTACACCGATTATTTAAAATACATTTGTGAAAAGAATAGACCTGACATAGTACATCTGATATATACTAATGTGTTATTGACTTAACATACATGTCAACTGGCAGCATTCCGTACATTTAGGCCCTCCGGACAGGTTTTGTTGTCTGAAAGCATGCTGTTACATTATATAGAGATCACAATCTTATTTAATCAGCAAAGTGTCATGCTTTCAATTTTGAATCTAATTTGAATGTAATTTGAGGACTGATTAACCTTTTTGTCTTTTATTAGTTTTTTTTTGTTATTCATTGGTAAAAAAAGTTTGTGTCCACAATTTTGAATCCTTCTTGAGTTCTTTGCAGAAAAAAACACAACAATAAAGTTTTTCAAATCAAGTGTTATGTATTTACTGCATACAATTGTTTGGTAAGAATACTATCGTATACGATCAGTAACTATTTGTTTTATCTACTAAAAACTGAAATGACACTAATCCAGTAGGAGAGCACCAATCCAAGTGTAAGGAGCTGTCGCATTTGGAAGTGTTGCACATGAAGCATAACAAGGCTTTGTAACCACATCAGGAACCCATTATGATAGCTATCATCCCATTACAGCAGGGTGTAAACAACAGAACTTCATTATGAATCGCAGGAAAATGAGAGTATCTCAGCACACTAAAGCGACGTTGATTGTGATTAGATTTTAGTTTAGATGTTTTGAGTTGTATGCTTACAAACCATACAGTGTTTCTTTGTGCTGTTCATTAACAGGGTTACATTTTAGCAACCAAGTTTCTCCATTAGAGGGAGACACTTATAGACAAATTCTCTCTGGAGTAGGACAATTTGCATGGTGAGCATGGCAGTATGCAATATGGTTTGAGCTTGTTTGGAGCTGTATCTGGGACAATGTACCACCCGACACCGACTGCAAATTACGGCAGTCACAACATATGAGAATATAGTGTTTTTGCAGAGCTTCTATGATCACAAGGTTCTGTTTTTAAGTTCTTCATGAGAATAGTTTGGGGTGATGGCAAATGAGACCGGAGCATCATTCAAAGTTCTCAACATTTTTGCCACTAGTTGAGAGAAGACAAAAAATAAAATCTTGTGCTTTATAAATTAAAGATGCATTGGTTCTTTGTAATACACTTCAAATCAAATGCTACCAGGAATTGTATCCAAATACTTCCCTTTTATGTTGGTAGCTGTTGTCCGGTGCAATAAAAGTTTTACATCTCCACTACGCTGGTCGAACATTAACAGTATGGCTGCTGATTTTTCCACATTTACAAACAGGAAGACACCGTCTCTCACCCTGAGACAAAAAAACAACTTCTTTTGTTGAGTTTACTGTAAGAAATCAAACAGCAGCGCTCTGAGTTCATTATGAGCAAATGGATCTGGCTGTCTCTGGCAGACCTTGGGGAAATTTTATTTCACCCATCGCAGAGTGGCTCTTCTCTCGTTTGGGTTTTATTGAGTCTATCGATCATTGTTTCAATCTCCTGCCCTTTTCTTTACTCCTTGCCGCTCTGTCTTGTCTTATCTAACTCTCAATCATAGATGCACACACACACACAATGACTTTGCAGACACACTGCAAGTATATACACCTACACAGATATGTAGTGTTGAAAGGAAAAGTGAATGGGCTGTAGATTCTGTAGGCTGTGTTGGAAAGGGATAACGACTTCAAATCTCTCATGCGTGGGCACGCAAACCGCATCTGTGCTTTCATTGTCCATGTCATCACCTCGCTGTTAGCTCTTCAAGGTAAACGCATTTTCACATTGCACTTTCCGACGTCTTCAAACCACATAACATCTAGCGAGCATATCATTTACCTCACGTGGGACTATTTCTCCCGTAGCTTTTACATTACATTCGGTTATTTTACTTCCTGTTGCCTCCACACATCCTGTATTTTACATTCAGCGTAAAAACATACTTTTCTCTGTCCGACATGTCACTTCATTCTTCACTTAACAGTCTGCTGCTCAACATTCTCTGTTCCTTTCTGGTTGACTTGCGGTTTCACCTTTTAAAAACTTACTGGGGCCTTCTTCTGTGTTACGTTAGTAAGGTCACTGGTCACTATTCAGAAAGAAACCTATGGAGGATTTCTATCTCTCTAATGTTTAACATGATAAAGTAACAATTATATCAAGTTTCATGGTGAGATCCATATGTTTAAATACTCTCTATCCTCTTTAATGTGACGTAGAGCTGCAACAATTAGTCTATAAGTCTATAAGTCAAAAGATTATTAGTCAATAAAGGAAATTAATGCACAACTCATTTTCTAATGGATAAATATTTTTTGTAGCAAAAAGATGCTAGAGAAAAATAGATGCTATAGTAGAGATAAAGTGATAAAGGAAGTAATCATAAGGTGCAGCGTTACTGTTTAAACCAAGAGGGGAAGAACAAATATTCCCTTGCTGTCACTCACTCCCTGCTTTGCAACTCCAAATACTTTCCTTTTATAGAGTGGACTTATCAACTTTGAAATGTAATGTGCCGTGAAGAAGCTCCCAGATGGAATACGCAAACATTAAAAACTGTGTGAGTAGTGACTACTAAAAAAAGCCTCAAGCATTGTATACTACGTACTGTGCACTCACTTTGATTTCGTTCAGTTTGTGCACAGTTAGAAAGCATTCTAGGTTGTACCAAATCCACTGGAGAGCTGGAAGCGCTGGCTTTTCAAAAATAGAGATTTGTAGGTCTGCGATGCAAAATCTGCTACAAGGACAGAACATCTAAATTTGTACTGAATGATATTCCTCTTGGAAAAGCCCAGAAATTTGAAGACTTACTTAAAAAATGTAAAGCTCTTACTAATTTCCTCCATAGACCCCCAGTCATAAATAGCTCACAGTGCCTTGCATGCCTCTTTGTCTTACGTTAATTATCATATCCAGATGCCGCATAAAACCCTGCCAAGAATTTTGCTTACTCTACTGCAGAAATTCCTTATCAACATTCCTCAAGAATACACCTGCTAATCCTTCACGCTTTCTAAATATCTGCCTCCATGCACCGACGTCTTCGCAGTTCAACACACTGTCTCTCGCTCACGGTTCATAAAGCCTCACGTTTCACATTATGTTTCCATTCCAATCGGACCCCGTGCCAATGCCGTGAACCTCTTCGAGATTACCTGTGACTGCTAGCGTCTATATAATGAGTATTCTTACAGTTTGCCAGCGTTGCTCTTGCCTGACTCAACAAGGGGCTCACTGGTGTCTTTGTTTGGTAATGGTATCTATGCAAATTCACATTTGACTGAACATTGTGGGGACATTTATTTATCCTCAGTGGGTGACCCGAGCGAGGCCGAGTGTCAACATTACAAGGCAAAGACCCTGACTGCTCCCATTCAGTCAGCCTCAGGTCATTGCATGTTTTACTGGAAATGTTGGATTGAGAGACCCGTTGCAAACCCAAATATTAGTTGATTGAAAATATTACATCCATGAAGTACCATGTGAGGATTTCCCTTTATGTTTTAGGATTCCTACATGTCAAGTATATACGCTGGGCGGACGTTCGCCCTGGTATCACAGATTGACAGAAATCAAAGACACAGCGTCGTGCCCCGTCTCAAGGACACGGTAGGTTGCCCACATTATCTCCGTATCTGTCCTCTGCACCGGCTCTTTTTTGCACACAGTGCATCCATTTAGTCAGACTCACGGGGTTCAAACGCAAACAAAACATTCACTCAGACAACTACATTTTTGAGGGGCGATTCTTCCAAGGTGATTTGATAAAGCAAGTGAGTGGATAAGCTGCCAGACATCCTCAGAATAACAAGTGCTCCAGCTCAGAGGCTCCTCTGCCTTTGATGTTGGGCTTCAAACCTGGCTTCATGCTGACAGCAGATGCTGAGTGAAGTGTACACTATGGCTCCTTTCTTTTTACAGGCGATGGAGTTCAGATCTACCACGGATTTAAAACATTACCAATTTCTATGTTATTATTATTACTGTTATTCTAACACAAGCGTCGCCCTCCTGCACTTGAGTCATCTTCTGGCTTCTTGGTGCATTATTGCTCAGTTGAACTCTGAACTGGTGTTTATGGCTCGTCTTCCCAGGAAGAATAGAATTTTCTTAAATATCATATTTTTGTTTTTATCCGACACTTAACAAGCTGTGCCTCTGACCTTCATACATACTTTTATATGGCTTGTGGAATTCTTCATGAATCATGTTTTTATCCTTATCATCACCACCTTGCTAATGTTTTGGACTTGATGATGATTTGAGCATTGTTGTCATCTTTTTCCTTTTTCCTTATCAATGTCCATTTCCATTCAGCCTGTCAGGAATTTGAGTTTCTATCACAGTATTTTTCTAATATATTCAAATAAAAATAAATAAATAATAATAATAATAACAAAATAATTATATTTTATGTTTAAATATAGCTATAGCTTTCTCACACCCTCATTTTCTTCAGCTGACCTGACCTGACCCAGGATCCCTGCGGATAACATTCCTCTGTGAGCAGTTTTATCTCACTCTGCGCTTTAGTTGACCTCTGTGATTAACTTAGCTGTACGGCAGATGGTGGGCGGAAAGCTTCCCGGAGCCACACTGTCACCAACTTTAGGGCTCAAGCGGGGACCCGGGGGTGAGGATTATGATGCAGAGTCAGCGCTGGGAATGCGTAAGTAGTGAATACACAGGACAATAGAGAGTTGTGAGAGAAGATGAAATCGTCAGTGGGACAAAGAACCTTGAGCCTGACAGAGAAACGGAGGAGACTGTGCGTTAGGAAGTCACAGGGGGACGGAGAAGGCCGAGGGCTTCCTGACAGGTGAAGGGGGGGGGGATCTCCTCTCTCAGGCCTCCGTGGCTGCTGATGGACCTCTGACCCCTTCGCCCCCCCCCCCAGCGTCTGCTAGTGCACTTCTGGAATGTGGTGGTCGGTGAGGGCCGTTCCCTCAGCCGCCCTCAGTGCATAACGGGCGGCTGGATTCCCAGCGTCGCTGCTGCCCTTTGTCCCGCCCTCACTCTCTCTGTGCTATGACGCGTCAGCCTTGGGAGCTTCTTTCCGACCGTTCTTCCGGGACGGCGAATCGGATGTCTTCACTGTCTTCCGGGGAGGACTCACTGGTTCGGCAGCAAGCTCGTGTAGCGATGGCTCCTTATACATCGCAACTGTGAGACGAAGATAGAAGCTGTTGGTTAATAATAACGGAGGTAATCGTTAAGAAAGAAGATGTTTTGAATTGTTCTAATGTGACACAAAGGACACAAACCCTCAATAACTTTAGGCAGGAAGTGAGCTGCTCCTTTGGTCTTCTTCACGCGGTTGCCCTTCATGACCTGGCCATCACGGTTGATACCGATATACCAGGAGCGGCCAGACTGGGTCTGGCGATACAGCATGGAAGAGTACGTGACGTAGTAGTTCTCGAATACACTCTCCTTGAACTTACACTCCGGAGTGAAGTGCTCCTGACATAAAATATGGAAAAGGGGGAAGTATTAGTATATTATATTAGTAAATAAGGACATACAAGACAAAATGATGTTAACTGTAAAACCTCTTTTATGTCTTTGAGTCTTTGAACATGGAAGTGAAATACATTAACTATGTGACTGTTTCCTGGGGGGAAAGGATGGATAGAATTATATCAGGACTTCTTGTTTCTTTGAAAGTACGACCAACGTGATCCTGTGGAACAGCAGGATGTCGTACATACTGTACATAGTACATAGTATATACTCATACATGTAGAAATACCACTAACGTCAGTGCTAAACATAACATATTCCCAATGGAAAGAGCAGAGAAGATCAAAAGCACTGATACTTACACCAAAACATCTTTACATTAACATAACATACTGCACATTTAATTGAGTAATTCTGAAATCAACCTGCAGTTATGGTGTAAGAGGCATCCCAAGTTTAGGAGAGTAGCTTGCCTAGCCGATAAGAAGAAGAGCCCGGGCATTTTTAGATTGTGTTATCAACAGAATTCTACCAAAAAATGTGTTTGAAATCTGTTTTTTTGCATAATAATAATACAAAGCATAGAAGGGGACAGAAAAAGAACTGCGCTTCAAGCAAGTTATAGAAGATGTATGTGCAGGTAATGATGATTTTAATTTTAATTTCTCACTAATTCAATTTAAAAATGGCCAGTAGAATCTTGTCAGAGGCCTTATGTTATAAGTTTTGTTACTCGATTCAAGCGGGGAGCAAAACTGAAATATATTCTATTTGCTATTTTAAAAGGGGAAAAAAACACACGCTATTTACTTTCAAGAAGTTTTTTCAGTTTTTCCTGATTAATTCATTCTATTAAGTTGTTCAACTTGTTGATTATTTGACCAGTATTTGGTCATTTCATTTAAAAGACATTGTCTACCTTATTGGTTAAAACATTGCATCATCGGAATGAACTGCTCACAACTCATAGACTAAATGAACTGGATGTTTTACATAGACACTGGTCGATTTTAAGGGCTCACAAACCTGAAAGTTTGAGATCTTTACTCAAGAGACTCTTGGTATGTAGAAACAATGGCAAGATTTATCCCCCTTCATTCACCCAAAAGAGAATGATCCATTTGAGCTGTCAATTGTGCGAGACTGGCTGAATCTGACTGGACATTACAAAATCAAATTAGCAAAACTTGGATTTAATCCAACAGCCAGTCATTGTAAATGATCATGTTCCAGCAGCAAGTGTCCTCCCTCTCCATCCTCAACATAACGACCACTGAACCCTGCATAATGTAGACTGGTGATATTAACCAATAGAGACAGATATACATCTCTGTTAGTCTCCATCAGAGTCTTGACAGGGACCATTTCCTGTCAGAAAGCCAAGCCAATCTGTTGGATTGATTAAGTTAGAGCAGCTGAGTGAAGAATTTTTGCGCGACTCGGAATGACAGAAAAGGGCCAACGGATCACAGCTTGGCATAAACTGGCTCCAGCAAAGAGCCACGGGTAGATTGACGGGACTTTCAGTTTCCGACGTATCACAGATCGTTGCCTTTCTCCTTCACGGAGCCGGCATCCTTTCAGCTGATAACGCAACTCGGGACTGTGCCCTTTGTCCATCTACTGCTGATGTCCTCCCGGCATCAAAAAACAAAACAAGCCCCTACCCTTAACCCAACCAACTCTCCCACATTACACAGCTATTTTAAGATCCTCTGACCGGTTTGATATCTTCTGCTGGGGTAACACAAAGAGGATGGGATCGATAGATGATCTGCTTCATTCATTATTAATCAGGCCAGAGAGCAAGAGGGGTGGGAAGTGCGCAAGACAGAAGGTTAAAGGCAGGCGAGAGAGCAAAAGTTTGGAGAGTACAGAGCTGGGTAATACAGGAGATTAAGAAGAAAGTGAACGGCTTCTTTGCATCTCCCCCAGGACCAACACTGGGCTCAGCATTTCATGGTGTGACGATGAACGTCCCCCTGGAAAGAGAGCCCGCGACTCCCAACAAAATACCCTTCAGCTCGACCTCTGAGATGGCACCAGTGATAACCCCTGTCCCCAGGCATCCTATAATTACCTGAATTATTTAATCAACTTAAATTAGCTTAGTGACAGAACCCACATCTTCTGTATTTCATTCAAGTGCTCTCCAAAGGTCTGGTGAGGAAAAATCTACACAGAGAGCAGACAAGTAGAATTGTGCGGAAAATTCAAAGACAGACCTTTTTTTGATGAACTTTTCATGAGCATGTTTGCCTTAAGGGCCAACACATCGGTCCCTGGCGGATACAAATATGTTGCTGTCATTTTCCACATCTCTGGAGCTCACCTTGAGGCAACCACCGCAGCTCAGCAGAACTACCGAGACCACCCGGGGGGTACTGACTGGAGATATCACCCAAACCAACAGATGTACCTGCGTAAATTAAGCATTGTTGGGGGAATATTTACATCTTAACGGTGCTCACACTAAACATTTAAATGAAAACCTCCTGTTGTAATGTGAATCATTGAGAGACTTGGTTAGCTTTCCTTACATGCGTCTCAAGCCAAAGATGAATTTAGGTGGACGGGGAAGGTAATACGTGGTATCCGTGCTGAGAATTCCCAACATGGGAAGAACCTTTTTATGATGCAGATCAGCATCCCGACCCCCCCGCCCACACACACCACCTTCTCCTCCATCCCTTTGGTCTGATTACATCTATTCTACATGCTTCGGGAGGCTTAACTCTCCCTGTCGCCATTCACTGGGATTGTACTCACCACCAAATAAGGGCATGACGGTACTAACCATATGGGCTAAAGGGCAGATTGCCTCCAATCTGACTGACGTCTTTAAATAAGATAAGAAAACAGGATAGTTACGACTTAAAAGGATATAGAGGATTCACGAATAAGCTTTAATAACTTGTTTACATTGTGCAATGGTCCACTTCTGGAATTCAAAAACACGTCTTTGCATTTCTGATGTGCACTGCCCTCCTTAGACAGCAGGGGTCACAGTGTCACACAGGCGTCCTGCATCTGTTGACTGGCCCATCAGCTCCTTAGGACGCTGTGAGAACTACCAAGCTGCCCTAATCCTACAATGTTTCCATTGAACCGTGTCGCCTCCGCAGCACCTACTCACAACTATCCTCATGCACATAATGCAACGTAGCGTGTTTGTGAGTGCATGCAATTGCAATGGAGAACACCACCAGCCGGTTATGATGTCGATGCTGTTGCCACACCAGATAGATGCACTCTAAAATGCCACGTTACATAAGTCAATAGGGTAGAGACGGGCTTATTAAGAGAGATTTTAAGAGGATGAGACCAGCATTTTATACCGCCTCGCAAAACACATGCATGGTCTGTCCGTAATGCTTTATGATCACCCTTTGAGGACCTCGTGGCCAGTCCAGATTGGATGATAATGTGCAGGGACTACTGCCTCATGCATCGTTGACTGATGGATGAAAGGCCCCTGTCAATATAATGTAGCTGAGAGAGGAATTTTTGGCTGACTTTCCCTCTTCGACCCAGAGTGACAGAGGTGACTGGCTGCTGCCTTTATCACCCTGCTTTGAATGTTCTGGGTAAGATAGGACACAAAAAACAACGGTATAGGTTCCATCATCAAAACACAAGACGACATTCAGGTTTTGGAAGGAGAGCGCCTTCACGAGGAATGTCTATGTCAAGAGCTAATCTGTAGTTTTCACTTTCACAAAGCTCTTAATTAGCTGCCTGGCAAACTGTATGCCCCTTTTTCTTGCTTTTCTCACTTGATCGGTTTTCTCTTGCTCTGGCCAATTATCCTCTGCGCTACTTTTTTTTTGATGTCCACATTTCATCCTGTCCTGTGACAAAAGCGATGATATCTCTCAGCTGGTGTTGTCCTGCATCTCAATGTAATCCTCTCATGAAAAGAATGTAAAGGACACAGGGGCTTGGCTTTATTTTCGTCAGAGGGTCTCACGCTCTCTCCTACTTTATTCCTCTCCTGCGTCTATCTGCCTGTCGTTCTCACACTCTATCACACGCTGTAAGAGGCCTGCGTGCATCACAAACCACAGTGTTTATCATGCAGTGGTCTTTTAAGGGTCTCTTTTATGCATTAAAGGACCAAATTAGGTGTATGATTGTGTGGTCTCCCAGGTGGGAGCTGACAACAGGGAGAAAATGCTCAATCAAAACAAAACACCCACAACGATCAATTCAGAGCCTCTTGTCCTTGTATGACCGCAGCTAAAACCTTATAAAAACACCTAAAGCAAAGCGTGCACTTCTAATTCCATATTTCCATATATCCTTGCATGAACTGCATGAAGGTTTGGCCCTGATCCTTATTAGACTGTGCTCTGATATGTTGATATATGCATCTGACTCACTGGAATAAAAGCGGGAGCAAACTCAAATCTGACCTGTGCAAGCTGTATGATTCATACACTAAAGGTTCAAAACTATTGCATGTTTAAATTGCTGATCTGACGTAGGTGAGTTTAACTGGGGGAACGCAACTCATGAATTGCATACAACGTGATCAGAGAAGACGTAGTCTATTTCTGGTCCGACAGAGATGTAACCGAGTAGGCAGTCCTCCCTTACAGACAAGAGGTGGAGCACAGACACCAGCTGCAAAATGTTCTCCCTGCCGTCAAATGACTCACAGAATTGACATTAGTTAACAAGCTAGCGTTTGAACCCGGACCAAGAAGAAGAGGAAGAGGGAGGAGACATTAGAGATTATTTGGTGTCTGTGTTAAGCAGACCCGTGTATGTTATTATTTAAAATATTATTTTACAGCACGGACACAAATTGGGTTTTGTATAATAAAGGAGGGCAGCATCGGAACACTAAGCGGGTGATGTAAACGAAAGCAAAATACAAGAGAGTAAAAAAAAATAAAAGGGTTGATTTTAGCTGATCCTTTAAAATATGTCTGGATGAGGGATATCTCTAATTCTTGTTGGTATTGTACGGTCTGATACAGATTGCGAGAAAAGATTCTGTGTTTATTTAGTTTAGGTTGATGCATTGGTCAGAGACCATGTACAAAAAGCAATCTATCAAAAGGTAATTAGATGTATTGGAGCAACTAGCTAAACTCCATTCCATTTGAAAGCAAAAATGTGCACAAACACCTGCATGAAGGAAAACAAATATTTACAACAAGCAAAGCTTGTATCTAAATCCTGATTGGCAGAAAAACTGCTTCTGCAAAGACAGCCTCCTGCAACACAAGCCTCTCTCTCCCTCTCCCTCTCTCCCTCTCTCTCTCTGAGTCTATGAGGAGTTTTCCAGAACACATAGATTATAAAATGGGGCACGAATGAGCCGAGCTCTATTTTTATATCAGGATCAGCCATTTCCTGTAGTCACCTACATGTAGTGAGCCTGAGATATATGTGTAAAACAAGGCAGCAGTGGACTTTGGCTGCTTGTTAAAGAGCCGGGCAGGGCGACCTGACCACGGCACTGTGCGCGCGTGTGTGTGTGTGTGTGTGTGTGTGTGTGTGTGTGTGTGTGTGTGTGTGTTTGTTTATGCGCGCGTGCACCACACACAACATCGACATAGCACATGTTAGACATGTGAGAACGGTTCTTCTTTGGTGGAAAGAAACATAATTGCATCCATTAAGCAGCAGGAGTGGCAGTATATGCAAGAAGATGAGAAAATTGCTGTGAAGATGCAACGAGTCGCACAATCAGTCACCTCGAGAGTGACAGCGATTCACTTACTTATCGTAAATGAAAACATTACACGTCTGTGTCACGCACTGTGTGTCTTTGCATGCTTTTAAATGTAAAAGCCAATATGAGCATGCATCTGGAGCACACATACAGTAAATGGCCGTATTGGGCCAGCGCCACTCTCTTCTGCAGCAGCAAATTAGCACATCTGATACACTATAGAGAACAATATCTGGCCATAAAATACAGCACGCATGATGTTACACAAGCAGACAGCTACTGTGCTGCCTTGATAGCGACATTGTAAATGTGTGTTTGGGAGAGAGGACATTCTCTGGGAGATGTCAGTGCAGTGCAGCTTATTGACTGGTGCTGAGGAAATCCCTTCTCCTTTCTCTTGCATGCCTAATCATTGGCTCTGCCTGAACCAACACACAGACGACCTGTCAGGAGAGCATATTTATACAAGGGTTCTGACATTTACTTTTTTTATCTCCGGAAATCTCTCCAACAATAACATGCTCTTGTATTATCCTTTTGAAATTTGAAATATGTATGAGGTATGCTTGTGTGTATTAGCCATGTGTGTTTAAGAGGAACGATTGGGTGACGACATTATGTCAACAACAGTCACATTTTCCAAATGTCATACACAATACAACTTATCTCACTGTAGGAATTCTGGCACCTGGCGACACAGTCTTTTCGAGGTGTAAAGACTGAGCAGTGTTATTTATAGCCACACGTATATTACTTGATTGCTTTTGTGCTGTGAGCTTGTGCCGACATGAATAGACAATAGGTAAATAGTAAATTGTCCTTTAATGGTTTTCTATCATGAACTGTGTTTGTCATGGCGACGTGAGCAGGGTTATGGGCACTGTCCAGGGTGCTGATCAGCGTGAACAGCTCCACTAGCTGCCAAAAGGAACTTCAACACTTCCTTGAGAAGATATGTAATGTTTGTGCAGGATCTTAACTGTTTGGAGCTTTTTGTCTAGCTAAACTTAGAGCAATGTTGCAAGCAAAAATACAGATGCTTATCAGACTGTATGTAATATAAAACTGTCTCCAGGCTGTTGAAAGTACTGATCAGAGAGCATGCTGGGATTAGCACTGTCCACTGAGTGCAAAACAGTTTTCATCAGAATTGCAGCTTGCAGAAAATGCAGACAGCGCTTTCTGCTAATATCGCAGCCAATCTCTTAATTGCAAGATTTTGTCTCTCCGATTTGCAGATAATATTTTAGGAAGCTCTGATAGCTAATTGACTTATAACCCTCTGCCTCTGACACTTTGTCAGACTTGAAATGCTATTCAAGATGTGCAGCTAAATAGATTTCTGTCTCTTGGGTTTTCAACGTTCAACTCGCATTGAGTGCAAACTCATTGACTTGTACTAAAAGTCACGGGAAAAAAACAGGTAAAATAAACATTTTGGGGATTTATCAGGTGCAAAGGTACTGTTTCAAACAACAGCACAAAATTAACTTAACTTTCCCACTTTCCCAACTGCCATGCATCCCCTATTTGTAAATAATTTAATAATATGCATGTAGTCTAAAGGAACATCACCCAGGCCAGATTTCTATCTAAATGTATTGCAAATGATCACCACAATTTGAGAAAAGAAGCAGAAAATGAACGCCATGGTGTGAACAACATTTCGGTTGTTTTGGTTGTATTTTTACTGTTTTTAAATCCATTTACATCAATTCATCACACATTTCTTGTCCATATTTTTTTTCTCTTAGCTACTATTATTAGTAGCTAAAACCACAGAAATCTTAATCCATAGAGTCATACTTACCGAGGTATAAAGGTATCCCTCACTATTCATGGCGAGGTATAATCCTGTCTTTGCACCCTGTATTGCAACGATCCGCAGTCCTACTGGAATTAAGTTGAACTGTGCTGAATTGGAGAATAAAGTGGGAGAGATACGGCAAGACAAAGACAGAGGAGGAAAAGAGAACCAATGTGAACATCAAACTGTAGCAGTGTATTGCCACAGCGTTTGCTTTTATGTCTTTATTGTATTGGGCTGAATGGTTGCTCTCTCACCGCTGATGCTGTATCTCTTTTAAACTCAAATATTGTGACTTCTTAGCATTTGTGTTCATGCAAACACAACGCTACGTCACCTTCACCGTGCTTTACACTGCCTCACCAAAGAGAGCTTATAGCAGAGGATCACCAATAAATTATTGCGGTTGTTGAAGTAATACTTTTGCCCTTTTGAAATTACAGCGATTGCAAAAAGTTTGTTCCCATCAAGAGACCAAAATAAAAGTACAAATTCATGTTGAGAAAGAAGCTGACAAAATCCTAACTTTTTATGTGACTTTTCAGTCACAGGGACCTGTAGCACAGTGTGACACCTGCTGATGTTCTGTCTGGCTTTAAATTTTGGCAAAGTATTGCGTAAACTCTAGCATTTATGTCCATGGATGAACTATATGGATGCAGGTGTTACAAACATTCCATCCAGTAACACACTCACAAAATGAGCTGCCTTCATCCCTTGTGCTGTCCATGGTGCCGTCAGGCTGCATCTGCAGGTAGTATCCATGTTGGCTGTATAGCCGAGTAACTATGCCTTTCAGCTGTGGCTCTACAAGGGAGCACAGCAGAAAACAGGGTATTAGAATGGTGCCAGAGGTTAAGAGCAGAAAGGACGTTGACTGATTTACTGCACCTGGAAAAGGAAAAGGTTTGTCAAATATTTCACCAACCGCAGAGATCCACTTGGCGTTATACCCGTATCAAACAATCAACCAGGGACGAACATATTGTATAACTCCTGTGAAAGGCCTATTGAGCGTCAACGTAACACCTTCAGGGAGTTTTGCCAGAAGGGACGATGCAGCGCAGAACAGATTCTGATTGATTGCTGTTCATTAACATAATAGAGGAATACCTGTCCAACACTTCTTCTTGCAGCCCTGCAAAGAAAATAATGAGGATGTTTATATTGTATCGTTCTTGTTAGAGATTTTCTCATTTTTTTTAGTATTCAACAACAATGTCTTAGATGATTAGTTAATTGCCTGACATACGCATAACATACAATGGATCTACATTTTGCAGAAGCTTGTAATTAAACTAATGAAAATGAAAAAAAATGCATGTATGGCATTTGTTATATGGCATCCTTCCATTTGCCACCAGTAGTATTCTAAGGAAGATCTGGGGTCATCAGAGGATGAAGTCAAGTGAGAAAGGTGGTTGGTTTCCCACTGAAAAAAAATGTATTGAAGAGGGCTGAGTGGTGGAGGAGAGGAAGGAGGGTGAATAGAGAGATCAAATGTTTCTTGAGTGGAGTCCCCGCAGCCTCCTTTGCCTTCGTTTAAGAAAGAGACAGAACCTTCGCAGCAGCTCTCAGAAAATCACTGCAGCAAACCCTCAATACAGAAGCACTCTCTCTGTGCCGAGGAAATCGAAGTTGTCTCCTGACTCCTCTCCGCCTCGGCCAGGCTGCTCCAACAGCAAGGAGAAGCCCGCGGGTCCCCTTGACTCACAGTAGATGAAACCTCAGTCAGTGAGCTGACCAGTCTCCTTCAATGAGGCCTTAAAAATGGAGATGATTCAAGACAGAGCCTGTGTGAGGATTTAGGGCCATCTGGGAGCTTCCCCTACAGCTAAACCTCGCCCATGTCCTCACACACACACACACTCCCCAGGGAGGGGCCTAGGGCACTGCGCAATCTGGCAATCTTTTCAGGCTGGCACAGGAAGAGAGAGTGGCAGAGGATGCAGGGAGGAGATCTGTAAGACTGTGTCCCGAAGGACGTGTGCCAGGGTTGAGACATCAGTGCGAGTGTGACCTACTCCCATTGTTACAAGCAAGCATCTGCAGCGCTCCCCACCCTCTTCGTCTCCTTCAAAGCTGCTTGTCAAAACATTTCAGTATCTCCTACTCCCGCACTTTCTTCTACCCCTTTATTTCATTGTCCTTTGAGCTATGTATGCTTTTGTCCGATCTAATAACATCACATGTCTTCCAATCAGAGCAGGGGACGCAGTTTGTTACTTGTCCCCTTGCAAAGCACAGCGATGAGAGGGCGAGAGAGAGAGAGAGAGAGAGAGAGCATTGGCAGGATCAGGGGGGAGAGAAGTGAGCAGAGGGATGGCAGGGAAACAGTTCCCCTGCCCAGATAATGTAGGGGGGAGGGGGGGGGGGACGAACAAACATTTAGGCACAACTTCAATAGAACGCTTGTGAAAGACAGCGACAATCAAAACTCCATTGCTTGGCGTCAGTGGCACTCAAACTAATGTTTCACTTAGCAGGGCTGGCGCTAACTTCAAAATGCTCATTTCGACGCACAAGAATTTCTGATCCACGGTGTAATGAAAGCTCCCCGACCAAAGCCTGTGTTTACCGCAGCTGCATTAAAGATTGTGAGATAATAAAGCACCTCTTGCTCTTGACACCTTTTTACACTAGCAAATATCGTTGCTAACATTGTATTGTATTGTATTGTACTATTGTGGCCTTGAATGATTTTTGTCATTACATCATTGGGGTTTTTTGGGCATAAATGAAAGTTAACTCATCTTTTGCTTCTGAGACAAAATGATGTTTTAGAGCTGGAAGGTACAACAGGGTTCCGTGACCTTTGGTGTTGTTTGCAGATGTTCCTGCAGATGGACAGTTGGAGTCACATATGTATTCCTATGAACATTACCAATAGAATATATAATCTATCATTTTGACTGAATTTTGATTATAACTACTTATTTGCTATACAATATTAATTAGGCAATTAGTCTCATAAAATAGTTACTTTATTAAGAAATACTACATTTGTTGCTTGTAAGAAAAATTATATTTTTCAGAAAAAAAACAAGAAAACCTTTGCTGCAGTGATAAACATGATGAAACGGCTCCTGGGTTAAAGTTACTACAGGTCATTTGCAAACTCAGAAAATTGTGATTTATTGTTTCCATGTTTATTTTTGCTTTTCTTTCCACTTAGGCTTGCAACTAGTAGTAAATTATAAAGCGTTTGGCTCCAATTGTTAAATGCGCCAACAAGGCTTTTAAGAGCATGCAAATGAACAAAACTGTGCATAATTGTAACCACGACTTGATTCTGTGTCGCCAAATAGCAAAGATGCGCTACATCCTCATGCATATTCTGCAAACCGCTCCCCTCTTTCTCCCCTGACAGCATTTGAGTCTGCATAATGTTCACACACACAGACACACACAGATAAAAACACTTGCTCTGCCGTAAATGTTGCAGAACGTTGGTTTTACATCAAGGCCCTCAAAGTATGTCCCATCGTCACAAAGCAAGACACTACGTTCAGTAAACCAGAGGAAATGACACCGACCAGAGACACACACCTGCTATGGTCCGATTAGTTTAATAAGTTCTATAAACTGAAGACCTGGTATAGAAAGTCGGTGTATTCGGATATTCCTGTTTTTTTTCTTTTTTTTTTACAGGTGGAATGTTTTATAGCCGATATTTGAATAGTAGTTTTATGACTGTAATGAACTGGAACATGAGGTTTTACCTTTCAATCTGCTGCAGGGGTACATTAGAGGGGTACTGGAGAAAACAGGTTTCTGACTTTTATTCCCTAGTATGGCTCAAACCATAAATTGTATGCTACATTTATTATTATAGTGTTTTTTCATTATACTTTCCCTACTCCTTAAATGTGCACTTCCTTCCAACCCAATAACTTCAGTTTGCAGCATCTAAGTCCAATCAATGTAGCTTCCCTTTAAACTTTAAAAGAAGAGTGAGCCCACATACAGTCACTGGATAAACTATTTAACTATTTTCCGTGTAACATTCGGTAGCCGCTTTTACGAGGTACAACTTCTTTGGACTTTCAAAATAAAAACACCTTTTTGAACCGGTGGCTAGTTGAGGCTCCGAGTCACACTTTTCCAATGTCTTTCAGACGTAATAACAGATCAATTAAATAATAACAGCAAAGATTAAAGAAAACACAAGCAAATATTAAAGAAAAGTCCAAAAGACCATTTTCAAGATTTTAACTATTTTAATTCCAGTGGAAAACCGGTCCTGGCAATTCAGCAGCCATGTGAGAGAATAACACGAGAGTTGTTTTTTGTTTTGGAAAAATTCCTCTCAGGAGTCCTACTCATAAAAGGAGTGGGTTAACTTTGCATAGTTAATGTTGTGGGAAATCAAATGCTTTTTCTTAGGCTGGAGGGTTAATCCCTGTTCTGTAGTTAAGAAAAAAGCATTATGCGTATAATCTTTGTTTCTTGCAGAACTTTGCAAGAAACACAGTCTACAAACTGGACTGCGCTGGGTATTCCCCCCGCAGAGCAGGTGTGCGATGACATTCACCACTCCTGGGACACGTGTGGACGAGGAAAAACCTTCACTGATCCAGGTCAGTGGAGTCTGGGTCAAAGAGAGCTCCCCGTCTGTTTATGTACATCAACACGCAGATGTTGTCAGCGCATCCGACAACACGTTGACTCATCAGCAGGCCCGTTTCCAAGTGACCTTCTCTGCACAAAATATGACATGCTGTTGACAAGCGGAGGAGCAAGTGTGCAGAGAGAGAGAGAGAGAGAGAGAGACAGAGAGCCTTCAGGGATACGTCTTTCAAAGATACTGTGTGAGCGCTGTCAAAGTCAACGGGGTCGTGAGTGTCATGAAGTGAAATCATATCATGACAAACGGCACCCTGGGCGCGCTTTGTGCAGCAGGTTGTTACCTCTCTTTCCACAACCAGCGCCTTCTAACTACACCGATGCGGCTGGGCTAATATAATGGACTTGAATGAACTTTGGGGCCATAAAGATCCAAAGGTGTCCCCGTCACACTTCAGCGCTGACTAATGCTTAACCCAGGCTTCAGTGCTAATAGCATTGACAAGCAATGGCTTATTTTGGTGTTTTGTTATCAAAGATGTTACTTCACGTACACCATTAAATGAACTTCGCATAGTTTGTGTTTTGTTGTTTCGTTATGTTTGGAAGAAACTCCCAGGCAGAGTTTAACAGATGAAGTTTATAAGAAGCAAAAGAGATTATAGCCATTCAGTTTATTACATTTCAGTTTTCCTCCTATCCCGGCAGTGAGCGATGTACACAGGGATACCCTCTCATCAATTTACATTCAGCACTGATAATCATTTTAAAAATCACCCGCGGGAGACCGCAGCTTGGTGTTACAGAGCAACCATTCGCGCAGCAATTATGTGTGTGTCTGTGTAAATGAGGTCAATGCACATAATAACCCAAGGTAATCACTTCATGCCTCACGCTGCCATCAAGGACACTTAAATCCTTCGCCGCAATGTAATTGCGCCGAGAAAGAAACAGTGGTTGAGGTTTATCGCTAATCAGCCTCGTGTATGGCTTGGTGTTGGTTATTGTTACGCTGATGTGTTTGTCCGCCTTGATTTGACCTCAGGATGTTGCGTTCTGATCTCCCTGCAGCCGAGCTCCTCTTGATAAGGTTGGAGGTAATTACCGGGGGCCTGCATGACTTAACAGCCAAGGACATTTCTTCTTCTGTTCCGAACAACAGGGGTTTTCCTTGCCTGGCTTATAAATTCAGTGACTCCTTTCTCATCAAGCCCGTCTCACTTTTCTCACTACACCGGTCT